CAATAGCATAATTAGTTTGGGTATGTTGCCTTGTTGAATGAATTTCCTTAACAATGATGTGAAGGGAAAAGGTGCTTAACTGGAGATTACCAGAAAGAGCCTATGGAAGGAGAAAAGTATGGACATATAGAGAAACAAATCATCCATTTCCTTCCTGATTGTGTTTTTCCTAGAGATTCTCCACCATTTTTATTTAAGCCTCTGCATCCTACTTTTGGACATCAGCATATGGGAAAAAGGATTACAATGAGCATAGTCTTTGCAATGAGAATATTCATTGTTGTGTTGTTGTTAATGTGCAGTGTAGTTGACTACAACCCATAGCAACCCTAGGCATGGTAGCTCTGAACCCTGCTATGTCCTGAGCCAGTCTCACTATCTCTGACACACCTACCTACCCTCATTACCCCACTTACTGTGTCAGTTCATCTCATCTGAGGTCTTCCTTTTGCGCTGTTCCTTCACCCTTCCAAGCATGATGTCCTTGTCCAAGGACTGGTTCCTTCTGGCAACATGCTCAAAGTATGTGAGGTGGAATCTCAAAATCCTTGCCTCTAAGGATCAGAGGGTTTCACCCTCTCCAGAACAGACCTGTTTGTTCTCTTTGCAGTCCATGGTATATTCAGCATTCTTCAGTACCACAACTCAAAGGCATCTTCTTCTGTCATCTTTGTTCATTGTCCAGCTCTCTGATGCATAACAAGTAATTGCTAAGACCATGGCTTGGATCAGGTGCACCTTAGCCTCTAGACTTACATCATTGCTCTTTAGCACTCTGGAGAGGTCCCTGACATCAGATTTTCCCAAATCAACTCATCTTTTGACGTTCTGTCTCTACTTGGTGGTATCATGCCCTCTTCCTGGGATTAGCTTTCTTTATAAGGTTTTTATAAGCTTTATTTGTATAATTAGTAGGCTATCCAGTCTTCTTGGTAGGCCACAAGTACCTTATGTGCATAGCCCTGTCTAGTTAATTACAAAGCCATCTGCACTGCACTTCTCTACAGTTAATAACCCGGATGTAAGAAATCCAAGGCTCAAGTAGGCTCCAGGTGGCAGGGACCCAGCCTTCATCTCCCTTTTCATTCTGCTACCTTTACAGTTTTAACCTTATGGTCTCAGATGACTGTATCTACTCCTCAATTTATGTCCACTTTTTACAATGGAAAGGGGAGATGTATTTTAGTGAGAACTCCACAAAGTTACACCTGTCATGTCTGCTCACATTCCACTGGCCAGAACCCAAGCATGTGGCTGTAATGTGTGCCTTCAGGAGCTTCGTGCTGAGCAGAACATCTCTTACTAAAAGAAGAACTTCCTTAAAAAGTGTACAAAGTGCAAGACTCTCGCACTGGAAACTACAGAACACTGCGAGGGTGCTTTAGATCAGCTAAACCCAGGGTATTAAAAGTAAGCATCCGTGGCACATGGGTGGGCCTGCGGCATTCTGGGCACAACACACGCACGTCCTTTTTATTTGTTTGCCTCCTTTTCTTACTGATACATAGACACTCCTTAAGACTGATTTAACCTTTTGTCTTTTATAAGCATTAACAATAGTTTCTCAGATTCTGTTTCTATAATTTTAACTTTGTTTTGTTGGTTGGTTGTATTGTGGGGTTGTGGGTTGTTTTTTTTTTTAATATGCCTTGATATACTGAGGTTTCAAAGTGATATATAATTAAACCTGTCCGTCTCTGTAACTTCCAGGTTTAGTGTCTTCTTGTTGTTGTTGTTATGTGCCATCGAGTCATCTGTGACTCATAGCGACCCTATCTATCCTATGCCAACCTCACCGTCTCAAACTCACTCATTCCCACCACTTCACTCACAGAATTGATCCATCTCATCGAGGGTCTTCCTCTCCTGCGCTGTCCTTCCACTCTCCCAAACATGATGTCCCTCTCCAAGGACCAGTCCCTCCTTGCAACATGCCCAGAGTATGTGAGACAAAGTTTCAGAATCCTTGACTCCAGGGAATATTCTGGCTTCACCCTCTCCAGGACAAACCTGTTTGTTCTCCTAGCAGTCCATGGTACATTCAACACTCTTCTCCAGCACCACAACTCAAAGGCATCAATTTTCTTTTTATCATCCCTATTCACTGTCCAACTCTCCGATGCATAGCACGTAATTGCAAAGACTATAGCCTGGATCAGGTGCACCTTAGTCTCCAGCCTGACGTCATTGCTCTTCAGTACTCTTGAGAGGTCCCTCACAGCTGACTTTCCCAATGAAATTCATCTCCTGATTTCCTGGCTGCTGTTACCAAGAGTGTTGACTGTGGAACCAAGTAAACGAAAACTGTTAACTATCTCAATCTCTTCACCATCCATACTGATGCTGCCAAGTGGCCCAGTGGTCAGAATCTTTGTTTTCTTGATATTGAGCTTCAATCCGTATTGAAGACTACAGTCCTTTAGTGTCTTGCAACTGTTAATTTTATAATAATAAAAATAAGAATACCTGGCTGAGAGGAAGAACTAAATGGAGAATGGTACTCAGAGAGAACCTAAAAATATCACTCACTTTTGACTCTTAAAACAGGCCCTTTAATTGGCTTTCCCTCTGGAGGTGGGATTTAAAGTTAAGTGGACCTGGGCCTTGAAAGCTAGTAAAATTTAGATAAGTGGAAGAGAAAAGACAAGGTGTTCCAGGGAAAGAAAGAGTATAAATTAAACCCTGGAGGCACAGAATAAGATGGGTGAATAGGGCCTGGCTGGATACTGTACTTTGGGAACACACATTTGCTACTCACTCATCTGAGCTGACTTATACCTGACCCTCCAGCTAGATTTCAAAGCTAGAGAAAGAAAATCTATGCACTTTATGCTGTTATTGTTGTTGTTAAGTGCTGTCGAGTCGTAGGCGACTCATAGTGACCCTATGAATGAAAGTCCTGGACCTATATAACTTTCATCCTTTCTCCAGGTTCCTAGGGTTTCCAGAGACAAGCCATTATGGAAGTGGATGCCCCTGTAGCCTCCAAAAAAACCTCTGGAGGGTCAGCTATGAGTTGAGTTTGAGAGTAAACTGCACAGGAGGAGATTTCCCATTTTTCTCCCCTGGAGCTGTTGGTAGCTTTCTGCCAGAGAGGCGTGACCTTTGGGGTAGCAGTGAAACACTATGAACTAAGCCACCAGAGCGTTTCAGAGAACAACGGGAGATAAACTAAATGGCAGTTAAGAGCAAGTTTTGGAGAACAGGATAGGTGAGAAATACAATGTTTGCAAGTGACCATATGGGTTAGACAAAAAGGATACACATTGCCATCTGACCAGGACAGGGATTTGCTTGTTGTGTACCGTCGAATCGGAACCAACCCATAGCTGACCCTCTGGAGGGTTTTCAGAGGCAGTAATCCACTGGAAGAGATTGCCCGTCCTTCTCCCACGGAGCAACGGGTGGCCTCAAACTGCATGCCTTTAGGATTGCAGCGCAGCTTCTTCCCACTAGGCTACCAGAGGGAAGGGGTTTTTTAAAAAGGGAAGCAAATTAAGTATCTAACAAAAGGGAAATAAATGGTTGAATAAATTAAAGCATAGCCACATAATGGAATGCTAACAGTGAAAGCTATCATTTTCTAAAGCCATGTGGAAAAACATGAAAAATTAGAGTTAAAGATGATTTAAAAGCCTTTAAGATCCCATTACAACTGTGTAAAGAAATGTGTTTTGCGGCTTGTGTTGGTGTGTGTTGGGTTTGTGTTATTGGTCTTTCCCTCCACAAGCGAGTGTCAGCTGGCTGGACTTTCACTTGCCTGTTCTAGTAGAGGGAATACTCGGTTTATCATAGTCAACAGCATTCGTTGGGTGTCTCTTTAAAATTCTGTAGGTGGTACAGCAGCTTGTCTATTTGCTGTACTGAATAAGTTGGGGTTGCTGTGATGCTGAACACTGTGCCATAGTTGTATCAAATACCATAATGGTTACCCATCATGGACAGTGTTTGAAGGTGCTTCCAGACTGATTGAGGTTTGGAAGCAGGAGTGGCTTCCTAAACCAGATACCTCTGGAAGCTCTATAAAGATAAAGAAATGAAGTTAATTGTAGAACAGAGTTCAGGTCTTTTTTTCCATAGGGTCACTATGAGTCATATTCAACCTGACATCACTTAACCACTACTACTAAGTGAGACTAGTGTTGTTATATTTTGGAGAAACATTCTTCTACTTTGTAGATCACTCTTTGCCAATTTCTATACTGAGGTTATCTGTGTTTGCTGTGACACTGAACCTTGTGCCATTGGGGTGTGAAATGCCATAATGTTTTCTCAGTGTGGACAGTGTTTGGTGGGGCTCCCAGTTGTAAAACGGCTTTGGAAGCAGAAGTGGCATCCACTTCCTAAACCACCTGCCTCTGGAAACAGTATGAACTTGGAGAAACAACAATAGTTTCAGAAAGGCATTAGGTCTTTTGTTCATGGAGTTGCTATGAGTAATGCTCGACTTGAAGGCAATCAATACCACCACAACAAACAAATATGCATGTGAGAAAAGATTGAAAAAGAACACTTCAAAATTAAAAGAGGTGCATTTGGGTGATGAGTGCTTCTTTTTTTCTCTTTTAAAAAAATTTTTTGGGGAGCTCTGGTGGCCTACTGGCAAGAAGCTGCACTGCCGCACTGCAATCACAGAAGTGCATGGTTCAAATCCACCAGATGCTCTGCCAGAGAAGGAGGGACAATCTCCTCCTGTACCAGTCAGATCTGATTTGATGCTACACACACAAAATAATAAAATAAAATAAATATATTTTCTTTGTTGTTGTCATTTTTTAATACTTTGAAGAGGCAGGTGTGAGTGACTGAATCAGCAGGGCCTTTTCATGGCTTCCTCAAGGTGAACTAGGCTAAGGGCTGTGTGCAGCCTGGGAGGCGGGAGACCAGGCCTCCTGGTTGGCATGTGTGATCCAGGAGAAGGGCCCAGGGTTTCTGAGAGCGTGCCCACTGGCTCCCTGCTTCTAATCCAGGAGTAATAAAGATCTCTCCTTGTGTTCTAGGGTCTCCTCATGCTGTTACAGAACCTCCCTACGATACACTGGGGCAACGAAGAGATTGGGCTGCTTCTCGCAGAAGCATACAGACTCAAGTACATGTTTGCCGACGCTCCCAATCACTACCGACGATAGGTGCTGTCTCCCCATCGGGACCCAGACTGCCCCCATCTCTGATGGCAATCTGATCACTGTGGCCCCTGTGCGAGCTGTGGACCCCGGCCAGGAACCACTCCTGCTGTAAAAAGCTCACACCCGCCGCCCAGGTCTTAACTTTTGGCGTGCCTGTCCACCACACCTTGTTTCTGGATGTGTCACCTGGACCACTGTCAGTATTTCCATGCCACGTGGATGGGATCAGCTCTGGGAGAGGACAGAAAAGGAGGTACAGGGTCGTCATCTGCCCCTCTGACAGAAACTGGACAACAGAAGGGGAAGGCTCAGGGTCTCAACTCACATTGTCCCTACATGGACTGGCTGCTTCTCATCTCCCAGCCCCATCCGACACCACTGCTCCTAGTGACGTAGTTTGAGTTGATCACAGGTCAAAAACGCCTTATATTTAAGACCCCTGACCCTGCTCCTGTCTTCCTACTTTCCTAGTCCTTCCCATTTTGCCCTCAACTGAGCCAGTGAGGGGCAGCTTTCCAAGACTACTGCTGTCAGATGGAGGAGGTCCTAACACTGATAGCGCTGGGAAGAGGCCTCCCCACCAAGGGCTGGGAATTTTATTAATTTTTTTCTTTTCTCATCATACGTTTGTGTGTGTGTGTGTATGCACATGTACACACCTATCACCATTTCAGTGTGTTTCCGAATTTCTGTGTCCAGACTGGCCCCACAAAACCCATCTGAGAAAAGGCCCTAGTGACCAGGTATCAAAGTGACCAGGAATCCAAGTGTCACTTGGGAAGGATCAGGGCAGGGGAGGTGGCAGGGTTGTTTTTTTTTTACCTCTCCACACCCTTCTTCCATAATGACCCACTCCAAGATATTATGTGTAAATTGTGTTATTATGTATATGAGGAAAGATGTATAAATCTGTGTCCTTTGTAGCAGATATGGTTTTATATTTATAATGTGCATCAACATGGGAAGGCAATGTAGGTCACTAGCACAGGTGAAGTCACCAGGCCAGCAGCTCCAGTAACTCCAGGCTGCTCTGTGGGCACCCTTCTGTGAGGGGAGTGAACAGGTGGGCAGCTGCTGGAGTCAGAATGGCTGGGCAGATGGAATTGCTGTTAAAAGCAGTGGCAGCTGTTCAAGCCTCCGTGTCTTAGAGTTTTCTCCTCTCACCCTTTCCTACCACTCCTCCCTGAGCCTCTCAGAGGCACCTGCCCTGTTCCCTCTCCATGCGAAGTGGAAGAGGATGGGAACACAGCTCCCCACCCTGTACCCCAGCAGCCTCCCAGAGAGGGGATTCCAGGAGAGGCAGAAACCCTTTCTGCATAATTTTATCCTCTCCCTTTTCCCAGAGTTTGGAGAGGGCTTTTGTCTTTCCATTTTTTTTTTAAGTCAGCATTTGATGCAGGATAGAAGCTGTGACTGACTTCTCAGTGCCAAGGAAATCCGTTTCCTGTGTGTCCCTTGGTCTGGGCCCCTTCTCAGAGCGAGACATTCTTTGTACCCCATTGTCACCATAACGCCCTACACAGCTCATGAGACCTGTGACTTCGGTTCAGCTTTTTGGCGTTGGATACTGGAGGGGTGGTGGGAGTGGTGGCAAACAGCTGTCATCCTCTTGGGAAGCTGAGCAGTGTCCCCAGCGGATGACACCATGAGCCTCTTTGCCAATGATGCCCCGCCCTGTTGGTGTGCGCTGCGTCTCTCATCTGGAGCTGTCTCTCAGGCATTCTCCCTCACCTTTTCCCTTCTCCCTTTGGTGTGCCTCAGTGGTTCCCTTCACAGAGTGAGAGGGCTTCTCCTGACCCTCCCTCACCTGGACTAATTAAAGAAAGACACTTGTGTTCCCAAGTGGTGGTTTTATTTTTTTAGTTTTTATGTTTGTATGGGAAATTGTGGATAAAGTGAAAGAATTGTAAATAAACAGTGTATTTCCTCCTCCATCTGCTCCTTTTTTCATCTCCCATGAATTTCTAGAACTTGGGATCTTAGGAGTCTCCTTGTTTTGGGTTTTTCTGGCTGATATTAGTAAGAATGGTAATTATGTGGGGCATGCTTTTGTAGGGCACACAAAGGATCAGTAGGTCAAAAGGCACAGAGCATGTCAGCAAATGTTTACTGAGCATCTGCTATATCAGAGGTACCATGGAAGCCACAAAAAATGAATGAAATGGTTCCTAAAGCTAAGTTTATGGACCGTCTTACTGCATGCCAGGCACAGCAATAAGCACTTTACGTGGATTAGTTCAACTACCCAGAAGGAGTATATAATGTAATGGAGTTAGAAAATGGACCAGAACTTCAGTGCTGGACAAAAACCTAGAGATAACTCACTGAGTACCCTCGTTGTTCACAGTGAAAGCCAAACCCAAGGCCAAGCCAGGGACTCTCAGAGTCAGAACCAGAATGCAGGCAGGCTCTTGGCTGGCCTGTGGTGTCTGTTCTTGCTAACCTACAGCAGTGGTGGTGGTGGTGGTGGTGGTGGTGGTTAGTGGTTGGGTTTCCTTGGCCACTGTCTTACTTTCTTAGTGCTTCTGTAACATAGAACAGGTAGGTGGCTTTATCAAAGTTTTCTTTTCATTCACAGTTCCACAGTTATCTCTCTTCTACCCCATGCCCCAGTCCTCTTTGCAATGTACCTCTTCTTCTGGACTGTTCTCACATGTATAATGCCTAATCATATATTCCTTTTTTTTAATGCAAGAACATAAGGGATTTTATTACAAGCTCTCCAGCAGGGACTCTACACACACCCTGACGCAGCGGCCATGTGGCAGAGCCTCATATATTCCTTTTAAGCAGTTCTTTCTTCATCTGTTCCAATGCAGTGCCCATTATCTATCCACACTTGTTCTGTTCTCCTCCCAACCCCCCATGTCAGTCCTACTTTATAATGGTGGTGTCTTCAGGGTGGTGGGTCCTTCAGGATCATCCATTTTGTGTAATGTTTTATAGGATCATTGTTTTTCAGTCCTGCTAGCATTCCATTGTGTTACATACCACAACTTCTCTATCCATTCATTTGTTAATTTGCACTTGGTGCAAATTTGCTTCCATGTCTTTGCTACTGTGAACAATGCAACAATATACCTGGGTGTGCATATATCTGCTTGGGTGGCCTTTCTGTTTTCTTTACGGTCTATTCTCAGTAGTGCAACTGCTGAGTCAAATGGTATTTCTATTTCCAACTTTTTGAGAAAGCACCATACTCCCTTCCAGAGCAGTTGTACCATTTTATACTCCCACCAACAGTAAATAAGGATTCCAATTTCTCCACAACCTCGCCAGCATTTGTTGTTTGCTGCTTTCTTGAACTTTGCTATTGTTACTGGGATGAGATATTATCACATAATTGTTTTGATTTGCATCTCTTTTTAGGGATTTTGAACATTTCTTCATGTGTATGTTCACCATTTGAATGTCTTCTTTGGTGAAGTGTCCGTTCATACCCTGTGCCCATTTTGCAGTTGGGCTGTTTACCTTTATCTTGCTCAGGTGCTATTCTATAAATTCTAGATATAAATCCCTTATCAGACATGTCATTTCCAAATATTTTTCCCAGACTGTGGCTTTCCTTTTTACCCTGTTGGAGTTTTTGGATGTGCACAGGGATTTGATTCTTAGAAGATCCCATTAATCTATTTTCTTTTCTCCTGGTTGTAGGTTTTTCAGGATCCTTGGGAGACTGTTCATGTTGTAGATTAGGGCTTCTAGAGGTCTCCCAAGCTTTTCTCTGATGAAGTTTATAGTCCTTGGTTTTACTCCTAGGTCCTTGATCCACTTTGAGTTGGGTTTTGTGTATGGTATAAGGTGTGGGTCTTGCTTGAGTTTTCTACAGATAGTTTTCCAATATTGCCAACACCATTTGTTAAAGAGGCTTTCATTTCCCCACCTAATTTCATCTCCTTGTAAAAAATCAGTTGACCATAGGTAGATGGACTGATTTCTGGATTCTCAATTCTATTCCATTGATCTATGTGTCTGTCATTGATTGTACCATGCTGTCTTGACCCCCATGGCAGTTTTGGTTCTCTTTTTCAGGTGTGCTTTACTTATTTGGAGTTTCTTTCCATTCTAAATAAAATTGGAATTTGCATATTCAATCTCATTGAATGGAATTGGTATCTGTATTGGGATTGCATTGAACTTTTAGATTGCCTTTGGTAGAACTGACATTATTTTTCATGACATTGAGTCTTCCTGTCCATGAGCATGGTACATTCTTCCATTGCTCTAGGTCTCTTGTTTGTTTGTTTGTTTCTTGTAGTAATGTTTTGTATTTTCTTTGTATAGGTCTGTTGTGTTAGATTTGCTCCCAAGTATTTAATTTTGTGATTAGCTATGGTATGGGTATTGATTGTTTTTCTTAGCTCCAGTTCTGTATTCTTTTTGTCACTATAGAGAAATCCAACTGATTTTTGTATGTTGATCTTATTTCTTTTTATTTTTGTTAAAGTTACTTTGAAGCCATGCTGTTGACTTTGAGGAATGGTCTTTGTCTCTTGTCAGTCTTCATGTAGCCTGTATTCTCCCCACCATTCATATTACTGTCTCTTGCCTAATCTACTCTTTTTGGATCAAAATGAAGTTTTGGGGTTTGTTTGTTTGTTTATTTGTCTTTACACTTCACTGAACATTTTACTGGCCATAAAAATGGGTTTGTTTTGTTGAGGATTGTTTTCTTTTTAATCTAATCTTCTTATATCTTAAAAAGAGATTGTCTTAAACCATACTTTACCATCAATAAAATCTCAATTATACAAGAAAAATCCTACTTCCTGATGGGACCACATCTACAGGTATAGGGCTTTAAGATTTAGAACACATGTTTTGGGGGCACACAGTTTAATCCACAACAGTGACTCTCCTGTGAAATATCTCATGAAAGGTAGTTGACTGCCCTTTTCGTCTACAAAGAATAGATTAGATTTATAAAGTGCAATGTATGGGAATGAGGAGTGAAACACAATGTATATGAAGGAAATAATTTATACAAAATTTGTACACAAACTAACAAAGTAAAAACAATTTTTTAAAAAAGTAATCAAAGGTAAATAAAAGTAGGGAAAAAAGAGCAGATTAAAATGGTTTTCCCATTTAGAAACCCTCTTAGGATTCATCTGAGAATATTTTTTTCTTTCAGTCAGTAGGAATTCTCTAAAGATTAAATTCAGCTGAAAGTAACAAATCAAAAAGAGCAGCCGTTATTCAACAAAGATATTTACTTCTGCCTCACATAGAAACACAAAGACAGGAAAGCTAGGGCTGATGTGACCGCTGTGTTCCAGATCGGGACTCCAGACTCGGTCCCTAGATCTCCATGATCTGAGACGGCATCTAGTGCTCCAGCTATTATATTAATTTCCCAAGTCATATGGATTAAGGAAGGGGGAAAGAAGAATTAATATAATTAATGTCACTGAATTGTATATGTAGAAAATGTTCAGTTGGTCTGTGTTCTGTGTAAATTCGCAACAACAGTGATATACAGAAAAGAACAAGGGAAATAGGCATGCCAGGAGTGCTTTAAGGAATGTTCCAGGAAACTAACTCCCAGTACTTGTCTAAAAATTCCCTGGGCAGAATGTAGCCCTGTGAATTATTCACATCTAGTAATAAGAGTGTAGGAGTCTTAATCTATTCCAGGCAGCCATCCACCTGAACTTCGTAGATCTTTAGTAATTATGGCTACAGTTGAGAAGAATAGGAATCCCAGAACACTTAATTGTGCTCATGTGAAACCTACACTTAGACCAAGAAGTTGCTGTCTAAACAGAACAAGCTACATGGTTTAAAATCGAGAAGGGTGTGCATCAGGGATGTGTCTGCATACCCATTCAATTTGTATGTTGAGCAAATCATTCAAGAAGCTGAAAAAAGAATGTGGCATCAGAATGGAATCAAGATCACAGCCTGCATTATATAAATGACACAACTTCACTTGCTGAAAGTGAAGAGAACTTGAAATATGGCAGAAAATCAAGCACTACAGCTTTCAATATATTTTACATCTGAACAGCAAGGAAACAAAAATCTTCCACACTAGGCTTATAGGCAACATCA